GAAACGATGTGCTAGGCTAATTTTGGACGCCGATACTCATGAAAACTCTGTCAAGCTTTTGAACAAACTAGATTGGCTGCCTATAGACGATATTATACGTATTAGGAAGCTTTATATGCTTCATAAAATAAATCAAGGACATTGCCCCGCTTATTTTAATAAATACATTGAATATATATATATATATATATATATATAAGCAATACCTATAATTATAATACGAGATCAGTTTCCAATACCAATATAACAACACCAGCCTGTAAAAGGAACTCTGGCCTCAGAACGTTTCACTCAAGCGCTTGTCGTTTGTGGAACACTCTTGATCCAAAACTTAGGTCACTCTCCCATACAAATTTTAAAAATTACTTACCTAAACTCTACCGTAATAAGAATTCCTTTATTGATCATTTTAAGATTTGTAAACCTTCTAGTTTTATTAGTAGTTAATTAATTAATATCGCTACATTAGTTGTTTATTATATAAATTTAGTTGGTAGATTATTCTGATAGCTAATTAATTTGATCGATACGTTTTATTACTTTTAATGTTAGGAGGGCCATTATGAAAACTACTGGGTGACCAGTAGTCAATGTGTTTTACCCTCGTTAAATAAAGTTTTCTTCTTCTTCTTCTTCTTCTTCTTCTTCTTCTTCTTCTTCTTCTTCTTCTTCTTCTTCTTCTTCTTCTTCTTCTTCTTCTTCTTCTTCTTCTTCTGCATTCTTTTATGATGTTATCATTGAGAAACGCATTGCACAGGTAGCCAATCAAATGGTCTTTCTTGGGGTAGTTTTAAGGAATAATTTACTGAGAGATCTCGTATATCTAGCATCACAAATAATACATCGAAATCCATAAGGATAACTTTCAGATCACTTTTTTACCGGGCCCAAAAATTTTTTCTTTTTCTTCGTCTGCTATGTGACTCCATGATACTTCCATATCCTAATCACTACAATTTAGTCAGCTGATTATGTATCTGTAGTGTTAATTCATTCGCCTTGTTGTTCTTGGGAGAGAACTTCAGTTCACACGCCTTAATGGCTTTCATTAGGTTTTCTCACCGTTTTATTATTTATGAATAATCTTATAGTCAATTACTGTATCATATGTTCTATATATAACGCGAATTTAGTGAAAAAAAAAAAAAAACAATAAAAAGGACATGATTATTGAAGTGAAATCAATAATTTACCACCACATACCTGTAAAAGTCTGTAAACTGACACATCCTGACGTTCAATACCAAGGCCACCAGATGAAACAGGGAATACAGCTGAGTGTACTTTGGGAAAACTCAAAAGGGAATCATGCAGAACCTTGTCTTCTACTTGCCATACTGAAATGTTCGACTGTAATTCTGATGACACGATGGCCTAAAGCAAAAGGGAATCCAAGCAACTGAAAAAAGTGAGCTAGCAATTCTCTACTTCTAGGTATGTTTGAATGTGGACAATGCACCCTACTAGCATATAAAAAAAAAACATACTTGCATGAAGCTGAACTGTAAGGCTAAAGATCTATCAATCACGCACTGTTCTGTACAGAAAGGGAATTTAAGTTTAATTTTAAATAAATTCTTGAAATCCAGCCCCTTGGCTGCCAAACTGAATGCAGAAACCTTCCACCTTTTGTGCTATTGTTACTTATACAACTATTATTTTACGGTAGAACACTTTATTGAACAAAGTATTCAAAATTCTTGGAAGTCTTAAATATCAGAATTTGAATATTATTTCTCCTCGTCATAAACTTGACCAAGTGTCTACAGTATTCTGTGATAAGAGGACGAGAGGACATTCACATGTGAATGAAACCATTTTACCTGACTCAGTGTGTTTGGCCCATATAAAAGACTGCTTAAAGCCAATACTGGACGTCCAGATTTCAGAACGGTCATGATGGAAGGCGATTCTATTCTTAAAGTAAACCCAGCAATGGCAAGGCTGGCTTGGATAACAGAAGAGGGATCTACAAAGGATAGTCAAATTGCGTATTCAAGCAAGATTGGATATTGGATATTTTGGATAAAATTTGGTCAAATTGGATATTCAAGCAAGATTCCCCTTGCTCTTGGACTTAAGATCCTTATAGAGTGAGCATCACGGGTTAACAAATGTGTTAGCACTTCAGCAAAGAAGGTTCTCTTTTATGGCCCTCCTTTCGTGCAGTCAGTGCCATCAGTTGTTTACTAACTTTTGGACATTTTGCTATTAAAAGATTACGTCTCATATCACTCGGATGAATTGAAATTTGGAACATTCAGTCAACGATCCTTCCCATCTCCATTTACAGACACATTTATGTGAGATCCTATCCCTAACCACCTGACAAATCGTTTGAATTTTGAGCATATACGGTACATTTAAATGCCACGTAACTATCCACCAAAGTTTTTCCTAACGAAGTTTTTGCAACTGCATTTGTTTTGGATTAGCAATCATCTACTTGTTGACGGCAGTGGAATGGTAGTTAAGGAGAAAAGTTTAACTAGAGAAATTTGTACCTTTAGAATTTAGCCCAAGGAGGCGACATTTGACAAGCATGTCCACCCAGTGTGGTCTACTTGATTCCAAGTTGAGTTCTATGACATTCTCTTTAGATTCACACAGTCTTCAAAGGCAAATATCAACTTAACGATTAATATATAACAACGCTGTTAAAGATATATCTTTCCATATTGACCTGTTTTCTGTTGACAGATACAAACAAGGAAGGAAACGAGTTAAAATCTTCCAAATCCTTCTGAATTCTAAACCTGGTAAGAAGAAGTATTTATCAATCAAGTTCTCCTTTAATATAAATTAACGATATAATAACAACGTAAAGGCTTGAAAAACTGCAGAATTTCAAAATCATGGAGGTCACAAACGATATTTCTTAAAACAATATAAGAGATTGCGTAAATAAGTCTGTCGCATAGCTTCAAATAGTTTACAAAAGTGTTTAGATATCTATTGCATGGTTAACCATGCTCTAAAATCCTATTTAATTAAGCTATACTGCCCCAGTCATAAATCTGATAAACGTACTCACCCATAGAAGTCCATGTAGTGGTACAAAAGATTAATAAGCCTCAGTCTTATGCAGTAGTCGACAAAACTTTGATGAAACTGGGAAACAGTAAGAAGACGTCCTTCCACAGGCATTGAGTCCTTACTGAGTTCAGCATCCATGGAGAAAAATGGAAGACTGTGCCCAAACAATGCCTGGGTAGTACTCAAACAGCGGAGAAGAAGGGGAAAATTTAATAGCTGAGATGTCGTGAACATTCCATTCCTAAAGAAGGCCCAAGATTGCTGGTGACTATAGATTATTGATACATGCGAAGGAATGCATATAATAAACTAAGTAAATACAGCAAGAAAACATATAAGCAGGGTGGAAGTTACAATGCTTTCACAAACAAACATGGATGGAATGTGGTACATGCAGGTTCCAATACTTATATGACACATTTTAAATATTTTCAGTTTGACTGTCTCCTCAAAGTCTCTTCATGACATTTCTTGTGTGTTAGTAGTGTAAGTTCTTTTCTCTTTTATCATCTTAGACCCCATAAGAACTTCATTATTTGGGTAGTACTGTAAGTATATCAAGTCAAGTACTTAGCAATTCAGTATTGAGTTTATTAGAAACAAAAACTAACACGTTCTTCCTTAAAATGAGTTTAAAATTTTTGTAACAGACTGACCTTGTAATCTCTTCCAAAATCATTGTTTTGACAACCTTGTGACAGAAATCTCCTTGACTGAAGATGCCACATGGCAGTGAAGGGAAAATAATGTTCCAGTCATTAACAACACACAATTTCCCACGCACAGGTAGTGAGGGATCATCTTGAGGTGGATTGTTATCATGAGCAACTGATCTAATCCAAGACAACAAAGTCTGCCAATCCATATGAGAGGAAAGGTACTCCCAAAGTGCATCTGAACTTAATCCAATATTGGGGCATGGACAACTATAATCTCCCGCTGAAAAATAGGTTGTTATTGAAAATACTTTAAATACAGTAGCAGTCAAGTTCAAGCATTTTGATCATAATGAATCACTCCTCACAGACTGGTAAATACTTGTAAATGTACTAGTAGAATGCTTCTAATAAGTAATTTTTAAGTAACAAACCAGCATAACCATCTAGGCCCAGTCGTTCAAAGAGTGGATTATTCTATCCAATGGATAAATTGCCATTCAGCAGATTAATGCTAACAAAAAGTTCTGCCCTGGATCCACCAGATAGAGATTTATCCTGGCCATTAGATAGCATTATCCACTCTTCAAACAAACATGGCCAGTACTAAAACAATTAACAGTAACTATCTTATTTCTCTTCATTTGTGTGCTGTGAGCAGCTGGAAATTCTCTTGCTGTTTTAAAAGAGACTCAGGCAAAAGTGTTTATGGAGTTGCACCTATGTGATTGCACTCCTCAAATGACTCAGAAACTTTCCATCACTTTGGTCATCATAAACTTGTGAAGATTCAGGTACCAAGTGTATAATGGATTGATGATGGGGGCATGTTTGATCTGAGTATACTAACCTGATGAACTAGATCATTCATATTTTGTGTATCATATCTAAATGTAGAGTGCCCTGTGTTAGGAAGGGAACTCTCTTTCTGGTTTCTTCTTCATTTTACCTTAGTTTGTTCATTCATTTACTTGTAAAAACACAAACTCTGTAAATCGGTACCTTACCTTTACTTGAGAACACCCTCTCTGCTAAAATTCTCTGTCTTGATGCCATATCCCAAGAACAAACCCAAGCCAGAGGTACCTCAACATAACCACTACCACTTAAGAGATTCTGTGAAATCATAGCATAATACAAACATGAGTACATATTACACATGAACTTTCACAACGCATTATCTACTTGCCTGTAAAAATGAGAAAAAAGCATCCTGTTATATAAAAATGCTTAAAAGCAGTTTGATTGAACTAATTTGTATGGCTCAAGTTTGTCAGGTTTTGGCCAAGTATGCAGTAGTTTGCCCACAATATGTCCACAGGAATTCACATTTCAAAAGTGCAGATAACCATAAAGAATTATTTGTTTCCAGCAAATAAAGACCCAGAACATCTAATTCCAAGTACAGTGCCCAAACTTGGTATACTGTCCTCTAATGTACCTGTATAGTGAGTTATGTACTACTATACAGTGTAAATGAATCTGTGAAGATTTTACCTGTTTGTTGAGGTCCACAGGTGTTAAATTTCCACTCTGAATGTAAGTCTCAAGGATTTGAGCTGAACCCAGATTAAAAGAACTTTTTAACAGTCCAAGGTCCCTCCAACTAAGATACAAAATACCATACTGTAACTGCACCGCAACCAGATTAATTTGTCTTACAACACATCCATGTGGTGATCAACTGCACAGCTACTTGTATAATATTATGACAAAAAATAATTAAGTAACACCACAATCCTGCCTGTGTTTATTTGCATTTACAATGGATTCAGTTATCTTTACATCACTATCTAATAACCTAAGTCAAATGTAGCATATATAATGATTACAATCTTGTCACAGACCTGTCTTTTGGGTAATTAATTCTCACATTTGTCTTAGCCTCTGTGAAGGATTGGTGACTGTACAAAATTTCCAAGGTTTGAGAAAACTTCACTACATTCCTTTCTTCAGCTGGTAAGAAATCTCTTGATTCTAACTCATTCACCTACCGATGGAAAAATTATGAAATGGCGAAACATTTTGTTATAACCATGTTCCATTCATTCAAGAATGTTAGTTTGGAGGACACAAACTTCAGTCTTAGACCAAGCCAACTGGGAGCTCCTCATTGTCTTGTTAGTTCAGTTGGTAGAGCACTGCACTGGTATTGCAGAGGGCATGGGTTCGAATCCTGTATGAGCCTGAATTTTTTTTTCAGTCCTTATTTTCACTACTTCATAGTAAGTAGTGTTCATTACCACAAGGATCACTTTCATATACATTTTGTAATGCCGCAGTGCACACATATGTTGACCGCTACTTTTTGTGCTCAAAGTAGAATGTTTAATAAAGCCTGCCCACAGATTTATATAGGCATTGTGTCCATGCAGATGCTGATGTGATAATTACATGTATTGTGATTGGTGGATGCGAATAATGAAGGTGCAAATGTTGAGGTGCTAATTGCAATAGTTGTGCAACACATATGATTTTTCATATATTCAAATTCAATGACTCAAACTGTGAATTGTTATCTATACTTTTGCATTTGGCTAAGTAGTAACAATTCAGTACACCACTAGGCATTTGGTCATTTTAACAACTTTCTTCCTACATTGTACTTCACAAGTCAAGATCCTCTGGATGAGCAGAACAGCCAAGGAACTAGATTAATCATGGTCATTCAATATGGGAAAAAGAAATAGGCAAGCTAGTGATGGACTACAAGCAAAAGGCTGATTGAACCTTGTATAAAAGTGACATGTTCTGATCAGCTTTACAGTTTCACTCTTATTACATATATTGATTCCCTGGAAACTGTTTCTGCTAATTTCAAAGAGGCCTCACCAGAAAATCTCTAAGAGGTCTGTGAAGTGTGTACAAACAAACTTTATGAAGCTGTTGCCAAATGTCCCGCCCCTGAAAGAAATAGTTTAAATTGGAAGTAAATATAGTCATGTACCAGTTCATGACTGCCATGATTATCATCTGCTTTTAAAAGGGAAGAAGCTAATTAGATAATTTGAAAAATATACATCAATTTTTTATTTGTCTGATTAACTACAGAAGTCAGATGATGACTCTGATGATGATTTCAACACAGGTTGTCAAATGTCAGTTACCACCACCGACACTGAACAGTCCTTCTCAGGAGTACACTCAGCCAGAAAATTGCACTACACTTTTACAGAAGTCTGATAATACTGTTCTTGCTAAAAAGGAGAAAATTCCTGTGTGGTTTTAGGAAAAGAACTCTAAGAGACTAAAACGAAATGCTTGTTTTGTTGAAGTCAAACCTACCATGTTTGTTAACAGGGTTGTCACAGTTTCCATGTCATGATCAATAAGTCTTTTAAAAATCACTTGAAGACCAACTTGTATGAAGCTTGAAAGGGAGCCATCACAATGAACAGTTTCGTGTTCTGAGGGCTGAATATAATTCTAATAAGCATGACCTCTCATCAGCAAAACATCCACTTGTAACAGTCTAGTGATATAGTCTGGCTATTCATTAACTATGAGAACCTTTAATTTAAAATTTACAAAAGGTTGACCACTCCAAAGTATTAAAAGGTGAGTTAGTTTATGGTAGCTTAATAAAAAACATTATCATGAATGAATATATAATATAATGTCTTAGGAAGGGTCAAGCTATCAATTGATGATCATAGTGTTTAATTTCCACTGTTATAATGCTAATCTGCATTAGGCAATGAGGTTGAAAGGCAATGTGTCACCATTGATGCACATTGTATCCATTAAATGTAATATTGCTTTAAGGTTTCCATGACACAAGAAAGGATTGAATTTTGTTGTAACATCAACCAACATTCCCGTCACAGAAATTATTACTGAGATCAAGTCTTTGGCCACGAAGGTTAACCTTGTGCATGTGGACATTAAAAGTCAAATGCTCAGCCACCAAAGCCTACTATCCCAAATAGAGCCCTTACAGACCTTAAACAGTGTAACTCTGTCATGACAAACCAGACAATTGGCTGTAAGCAAGCCCCTACATAAGCTTAAGCAAAGCATACATGTAGTAAATAATTGCTTTGAAAATTCTGGATATACCAGCTGAACAGGTCTCCTGCTCTGGAAAAATGCTTGAGCTGAACAAATGTGTCTCCTGGCAATGGCATCTTCAACAATATCCTTGCAAGTAAAGGAAAGGTTATGACATTACAGCAAAATAACCATAATCAGTGATTAACTTTGTACCCTAATATACAATGAATACAAGATGTGGTATTTGTCTTTTAAGGGTATGGAATTTATTTATGAAAAGAATGGATCAAAACTGAGCAGCAACCAATTCTCATTATTAGGGAAAAAGGCAGCCAAAATTTAAGCTGGATCCCACCAATCCCTCCTGGGATCCAAGATGGGATTGGCAGCATTGTTAAAGCAACATCACAAGGTAAAACCATTATTTTACTCTTGGAGGCTGCTAACATGGTAACAGAACTTCCCATGTAACTACGTAGTCACTTCCAAAACCAACATTTTTCAAGGTTACAGGTTGTTTGTGGTCTTCTCATTTCTTGTAAATTCTATCATTCAATATTTTGCTTGTAAAGGCTGGAGAATTAATTGATGAGGGTCAAGCACGTGTGTCTCCAAGTCTCAAAAATCAAAAAATCTTTTCAGAGTTTGATACATCTACAGTTCACAAAATAACAAACTCATGATTACAATACCTCATCCTTCATTTTGTTCCACCTTGTCATGGATCCATCTTCCTCATCTGCATCCAATCTGGCAAAAGACATTGGATCATAATCCACATTTTCAAAACTTTGAGCATCATCCAAAGGAATGTTGCTGAGATGGCTTTGAAGCTTCACAATGCTTAGAGTCAGAAAATCGAGGCAATCTTTAATTTCCTGATGTAATGAAGTACATATAACTTGATCAGTTTCATGCACAATAGCAGTCTCTTTACGAACTTCACCCTCTAACAGCTTTGCTCCATCTTCCATTAGGTTGTGAAGGTAACTTAGGGTCATCTGTGCAAGTTGCCTTGTGAAATGCTGGTAGTGTTGTTCTGGAAAAAAAATGTCATCTTAGAGTAAAGTGTATCTATTAAAATATAACTTTCATAAAGTCATAAAAGAACCACACCTGTATTGTAAATTAAACCTTTTTCTTATCTGCTAGTCTCAAAGTGTCAGAAACTATATACAAGTAATTTGATACAAAACTAGCCAATCCAAATCAAGTCATAAAATCAAGGTGTGTCCTGTACAAACAAAACCGCATATGCATGACTAAAAAACCATCACAAAATCAATTGAAATACACGAGACTGTTAAGAACACTAACTGAGGGTTCCCAGAAACACAGCTGTTCACCACAGATCTCTCCTTGCCAAACACCTTTCAACTACTTCATGTTATTTGTCCTCATCTATTCAAAAGGAATCAGCATGAGAACTGATGTAGGTTATTTTTTGCTTTTGGAAAAAAATTATTACTTCTTAGTGAATATCAATTTGTTTTAAAATAATGGTTGATTCCCATTGTGGCACACTCCTCCACTTTTGTACCCATACAAGTAGAGATCAAAAGTGCAATGTTCCTCACTTACGCTGACTATTGTAGTTGACAGCACCAACAAGGGCCTCTGTAACTGCCACCACATCAGTGGTACCCAGTACACCTTCACCAGATGGTGATGATGCTGAATTTAAAGACAATACAGAGTCTGATGAAGAGTAGAGAGCAGCACATCTGTTTGTGAAAGCTGAAAGAGAGTAGGCAAATCATCAAACCATGGAAGATTTATTTTATAAACAGATTGGTATTTCAAATAATAAAAATGTTGATAGTAAAGGCAGATTAAAATCCCTTCCCTTGCAAACTAAAGGCTTACAAGCTTTTCTTGGGTTCTCCCAACATGTACACTCTGCTTCAGTTGATGATGCTATGAAAACCAGAAAATATGGACTGTCGTTTGTCTAAGTAGTACACATCTCTGAAAAAACACCAGGTGATATCCTCTCTACATCTAAACCCATTTCTCAAAAAGTTTAAAAGATTTAACATTAATTGCTGTATTATAAATTCTAACATGACATTTTAGAGCTCGGTTCTTGCCTTTGTCCTGGTTTTTTAAAAAAAAGGCAACTGTGTCGAGTTGCCTTAGTTTTAAGGCCACTTCTAAAGCATGAATTGGAATGGTACAATGATCCCACTGATTCACAAAGCAAAGAGAGTCTGCCAGCACTGCATTCTCGTACATAATTACCTACAAAACAGTAGAGCAAAGTTTCCATCAACATTTTCCACCTAAGACCATTCCTAAAAAGGAGTCAAAAATAGCCACCAAATGAGAGAGTTATAACTCTGTTAAAAGAATTTTTCATTGCATAGTTATATAACATTTTATACTGTATATAAAATGTTATATACATAGTTATAAACTGGTTTACTCTAGTTTGAGCACTCTGGCATGGCTTAGACGATACCACAAAGGTTGGGTCGTTTGGGGTGACCGTCTCGGTTCTCCCCCATCCTAGCATTAGCACTGCACTGATGAGGCCCAGAAGGCCGAAACAGTACTGTCTGCAGTTAGTTATATATATATATATATATATATAT